TTCTGAGCAACGTGCGCTACGAAGACGAGTCGGAGTCCGAGGAGGAGGCCGCATCGAAGCACCAGTCCCATGCCGCAGCCAAGGTTTGGCAGGCAGCCGCTGCAGATGCAAAGCAGCAGAAGCCTGCAAAGCAGGAAGCCGCTGCTGAGAAGCCGCAGCAACAGAAGCCGACACCGTCTCAGCCAGAGCGCACCCGGAAGACCAAGAAAGTCCTTTGGGAGCAGGTGCCCCAGCAGGTGTCCAACGTTTGGGACACGAGGAGCAACGAGGTCTCGGGTTCCAAGAAGCCGGCCTTCGACCCCTTGAGAGCTGCCAAGCTGCAGGCTAAGGCCGACCGCTTCAGGGGGCACGTGGAGAAGCTGCGGAGTGCCGATGTCGCGGCGCAGGAGCAGGCCGCAAGGAAGCACCGGGCCTCCGTCGCGGCGGCCGGGGCGATCCCTCCGCTGGTGGAGCTGCTGAGCAGCAGTATTACGGATGTCCAGAAAGCGGCCGCGGGGACGCGAGCAGCAGTAATACGGTTGAGCGGCAGTGGTGAGCAGGGATGGGCCGCAAACGCGCTTCGGGATCTGGCGATAAGCGCAGACAACCAGGCTCTCATCGCCGAGGCCGGTGGCATCCCTCCGTTGGTGGAGCTGTTGAGCAGCAGTAATACGGATGTCCAGATGATGGCCGCAGCGGCGCTTCGGCATCTGGCGTCAAACGCAGACAACAAGGCTCTCATCGCCGAGGCCGGTGGCATCCCTCCGCTGGTGAGTTGTTTGACGACAGGCACGAAGTGGGCCCAGCTACATGCAGCAGAAGCTCTCGGCACCTTGATGGCGGATTGGATCGTCGTCGACCGCGAGTTTGTCCCCATGCCGGAGGCCACCGAAATCGCCGAGGCCAACCAGGCTTCCATCGCATCCGCGGGAGCGATCGACCCGCTGATTGAGATGCTAACGCAACGCAGCGGCGTGATGGGGTTTCAGGAGATGGCCGCGCAGGCGCTTCGGCCGTTCTCGTCCCGCGAGGACACCCGCGTGGCCATTGTGGAAGCTGGCGCGATCCCTGTGCTGGCAAGGTTGTTAACTCAGTGTGAACCCGAACATCAGCACATCGTCCAGCACAGCGTCGTCGGCATCTTGCACGACCTCGCCGAGAACGCGGAGAACGTGGCGGCCATCGTGGAAGCCGAGGCGGTCCCTAGCCTGGTGTTTCTGACCGACAGAGCTCAGGAGGCGGCCGCGGAACTTCTGCTCAAGTTGTGCGCCCACCCCCAGGGCCTGAGCGAGGCGAAGCGTTGGGGAGCCCTGGACGCAGCCGCCGAGCTGGAAACGTCCGGGACGCCGGCGGCGCAGGAGGCCGCGAAGCGGCTGGTGGCGCTGCTGCGGCCAGGGCGCTGAGCAGAGATGCAAAAGAAAGGGCAATGTCAGACCCAGAGGCGGAGGAGCTCAAAGGCAATTAGCTCCTTGAAGTCTCTTGTCTCACCAAACCGTCAATGACTCATCGCCCGGTCTCATGATTGAAGCGGGACCTCGCCGCACACAGCTTGAGCATCGGGCCGGCTGACAAACTGTGCACGCCTTGCAATCAATTTACCTTGCAGATCTCGGGATAGGGAAGGGTTAGGGGGGGCATAGATTTCGGAGCGGGCATCTCTCCGAAAACGGCAGTCGAGTTGCATCGTATTGCTTCGTTGTGCTGCTGCCATCTGCTGCCCTTTTGGAGGAACCTTCACTTTGTTGATGCACAGCGGATGACAAAGGATTGATCCTTCCGCAGGCCGGGCATTGCATTTCAAGCGCAGCTGCGGCCCGCGAGTGTTTCTCATAGACTCATAGTTCAACGGAAACCGATCGCCTGGCTTGCTAACGCTTAGTTCGAAGGATTTTCGTCTCTGGACCGCAAGGCGTCCCGAAACCCAAAGGCCAAAAGCCTGGGACTGAGAATGTCTGTTGATCAAGAAGATCCGGTCGGCTGGACACCGGAATATCAGAAACTCCACGAACTCTCTTAGGAAGAGCGCCGGAAGGGTCTATAAGTCCTCATGAAGCTCTCAAGTATACCCTCAAGTCGTGAAAAAGGCCCCGGGGTTGCTTCCTTGTGCTGCAGCCCAGTCCTGGAGGAGCCTTCTTTTTTTCATGATGGCCTCAACCCGATGAGTCCGTCAGCCGCGGGCCCGGGAGCCGGAGCACTTTCAGTCGCGAGAGTGTGTGTTTCTCTTGGTTTTTGTTCGGCAATATAGGTTCGGCCATCTCTTTGGTTTACAGTAAGTGGGTTTCCGCCCCAAGGGAAGGAAGCCGCGCACTGCCGACTGTTGAAGACGAAGAGATCCGGTGAGCTGGAAGCCTGGGTCTCAGGAGCTCCCGCTTTCGTGGCAGACTCTCAGGATGTACAGATCAGATCAGTATGCTGGAGGTGCTTGCCGACACTGGTTTATTACAAGGTGCCAGATCGGCTTGGGGAAGAAGGGACAACCAGAAGCAGCTAGAATAGCTAGAAAACCTCGGAAGATGCCCTCAGAACCACCAGTTTATCTGCACCTTCATCTCGCCAGCAGGGAGCTCAGGGCCCTGGAACACATCTAGGCATCCGTGGTATGGGCCTATAGATCCCCAGCCCTTCAACCAAAATCAGATCAGAGAGCAAGCTCAACCCCCCCCCTCCTTTTATGGCACCGGAGCCTGCATCCGAACCCGTCGGGATTGGGGCTCACCACATTGGGTGCATGGGCATGGACCTTTCACTGACCGCAGCTTGTGGGTTGAAGACTTGGGTTGAGATGGCAAGTAATCGGGAGATGGAGTTCGAAGTCTGCAACCCGAGAGACCCAGCGTCTCAGACCGCACTGGTTCTGGGCGAGACTACTCTCTCAACCGAGCTGCTGCATCCAGCGCCCATAGGAAGTCCAACTTGCGAGGCGTTTGCCATCTTCGGCGGCTTCTTCCTTCCGCGCACGTTTTATGCTTCTTGCCCTCGCAAGCAGGGCGCTGGATTCTGGAGTCGAGGATTCGTCGGTGCAGCTTTACACATTCCTGGATTCGGAGCTTCTGCATTTCGGATATTGACGGACAGATGGCGGATGATGCTTTTGCTGCATACCTATAAGTCTGCTCATTTCGTGCAACTTGAACAACTTGAGACTATGTTTCCCTTCAGAGGCGTTGCAGGCTCGCGTTGCCGGGCCCTCGGAGTCCGGACCCGCTTTGTCCTATCCCATCCCAGGGTCGGGCACGCAGTGACAGCAAAAGGCCAGACCCACTGCCAAGCCGCAGGCCGCAGGCTATCCGGTTCACTCTTCATTCTGCTTCCTCGGTTAAAGCCCTCGTATCATCTTCACTCCCTTAAAAACCCTCAAGCCCGAAGCTTCCAAAGGGGGCCCGGGAAGACCCGAGGGCTCCCGCGATTCGCACCATCGAACCCCCTTCTCCCCGAGAAATCTCTGAGGTCTCCGAGGTCGGGAAGCTGCGAGCTCAGGCCGGCTCTCCGTGATTCTTGCTGTCGGTGAGAAGAGGGGGTCCAAGCAACCGAGAGACAGGTAAAGGAGCTGTGGTGGTAGCTTCGCCATAGACCAAAACGGAGCTCCCCAGACAGGTAGCTTCCTTTGAAGGGGGGCTTTGAGGGCTTTTGAACGAATTGGGCGATTGAAGCTAGCTAAAGCAATCGGACTCTGAGGCCAGAGGAAACCCGACTGGGTCTCAGACCTTCGGAAGATGCCCTCGAAACCACAGGTTCTATAGTCACGAGTGCCAAGAGTGCGCGGACGCTCCACCGCATAGAGATTCATGCCATGCGGGCTATATAGTATATGTACATCCGCCCAACGCAGTTGCGTTGGCTGCCGTGTCTATTGCTGCAGTGGCTTGGATGAATTCTGCGGCGACTGCAGGATGCCGGCTGATGGTGGCAGGGCATGGGGCGATCTGCAGCCGCGACGTCGAAATCGGGGCGTCTCGGAGCTCCTCACGAAAGCTTCAGCAGGCTTCAAGTTGATAAGGCCCTCGCGTATTCTGCCGAGTGGCGCTGGCATGGGAGGCGTAGCTGTTAGCTGGCAGAAGTTGCAAGGGTGGGCCTGAAGCAGCATTATGACCAAGTGCATGGTACAACCAATGGTACTACCAATGGTATGTACGAGTTAACGATCCATGCAAGACCAGATAGAACGGGCGGCTAACAGAAGGCTGGTAGTTGAATGGAAGAACAGCAGTTTCGCCTTTCACTGGCATGGCCGGAAATTCTGAGCACTTCTCCGCCAGCGGTTCTCTCTCAAACGCTGCAGTATGTCTCGTTGCTGAGCCTGTGCTTGTCACTGCAAGTGGCAGGTCAGACAGCGACCAGGTAGCCGAAGGCCGGGAAGGTGGGATCGTGGCATGCGACGTCAAAGCCGCAAACTTGTAAACGTTGGAAGACCTACTTGTGCTTGTCGCTCGTTGCAGCCGTCCGCTTGATTATGGTTTGACGAGACCCCGGTACAGTACATGCATGATCTCTTCCATCATTGCTTTGAGACAAAGTGCATCTCACCAGAGATGTCTGGCCAGGTCTTGTAATTGTAGACTTTCG